CATTGTAACTTCCATCACTACACAAATGGTACTAAGTTGAGGGCTACCTATAATCACTCTGCTAAACAAATAATTCCCACAACACTGTCAAATTATTTACTAAGACTGTATTATTATTATTATTCTCATCCTTCCTAATACCTATCTCTTCCCACTTATGACTATAAACATGTTGCTTGTATCTTTACAATTCATATTGTTTTGTTTCCTACTATGATTTGATTGCTTATTAGTAACCTGTGACTATCACTAAGTGTCGTATCTTAATATTCTTGAATGAATGTATTCTATTTTATTTTTCTTTATGTACACTGAGAGCATATGATGCACCAAAGACAAATTCCTTCTGTGTGTCCAATCACACTTGGACAATAAATAAAGAATTCTGTAATTCCCCAAATTACCACCCATGAATACAGTCCAAGTTTTCCCAAATGAATTCCTGTTTCAAATTTGAAAAATCAAACAGTCAAATGGGCACACACACACACACACACACCTTGGGCAACTCAGAACAAAGCTAGAGGTAAGTTTTCATGCTCATTTTTCAAAATATCTTTTGAGCTACAATTTTAAAAGATTTCAGAGTTTCTCTTCCTCCTCCTCCTCCTCCTCCTTCTCAGAAGATAAATCAAGAATCCAACCTTGAAAGGAAATGGCCAGGCTGTGCGAAGTTTGCTACCGCTTCAAACGCCCAAATGGAGAGATGCAAGCAAAACTTTCCAAGACTACAATTGAACTTGGAGCACTTTCTGGAAATAGAGGCTTTCTCGGACAAGTCCAGGAAGAGGTAGAGGAAGAGGGAAGAAGAGAGAAAAGGAAAGCGCCCGGCATTGGAGGAGCAAGGTTAAAAAACCCGTTTCTCTGAAAGAGATTATATTCGAGGGAATTTGAATTCGAGAGCAAAGGGGAAAAATATGCAGAAAGGGATCGTGCAAAAAAGGGGAATCGGAAGAAAAGAGGGGGGGTGGCTTGGTGATGGGGCATTAAGCCACAGGCAGGAAGTGAGCAAGAATTATTTGGAAGCGCTGAGAGTCAAAAGTGAGGCGGGTCGCTTTCTCTGAGCGCTATTAAGAGTTCAGGGACGCGTCGCTTGGCTTCGGTTGCCGGACGCGTAAGAAAACTGCAAGGCTCGGGTGAAAGATCCCGCCCCATTCAGCGCCCGGATAGCCAGTCGATCATCAATACTGTCCCGATCTCGGCTACTCACCTACCAACCGCCGCAAGAGCCGGCTTCACTTTTCTCAGCCGGGAGGCGAAATGACTTAGCCTCAAATGTGAGGCTTTCCCACCGCGGCTGAAGTCCCGCCTCTGGGCTCAACCTTGCGAGAAGCCGCCTGTTTTTTCCGCTTCTTCCAAGGGCTTCCCCCCCGCCCCTCGTGTCATTAAATTTCGGGGAAATCGGGGCCTGTTTCATCATTATCCACAATGTACGGGCCAGCTGATGGCATTCGGTTCACAGGCGTTCGGCCCGGGAAAGTTCTCAGAAATGACTCGAATGTTATCTCACTGTGTGCAAAAATCCGGAGAGGCGCCAGACATTTTACCAAAGGGAGACGTGCTAAGACATTTCAGAGATTGTACGGTGAGAAGTCAACCAAGTCTTGATGGTTGTCCCAAAGGTGCTTTTTTTTCAGGAGGCAACTGGACTTCAAATATTCAAAGGTGACATTGCTGCCTGCTAGAAAAAGAGATGGAACTTGGGACTGTGTCAGAAAACGGGAGATAGTCAATGTAACATTATTTTTTTAAAAGGAACCCAAGGAAAAGCATAGGCCAGTCAATGCCCAGTTCACACAAATTGATAGAAAGCATAACCAAAAGAAAAATAATAATTAGCACAAAAGGGAAACAAACCCTGAGAAAAGAAAATCAGCACAGATTCTGCAGTATTCTTCCTATAGCAGTGTTTCTCAAACATTTCACTCTCCAGACCCAGAAATATTTTATTGTAGTACATATTGAATTGACCCAGCCATTAAGAGGTTCTGCCTCTATAGACAGACTGTGTTTAAAAGATGTTATGGAAGAGGAATAAGTTTTATTTAACAAGACTGAGACTGATTTGAAAGTGGATTTAAAAATTACAACCTAAAAGAATAAAATGGAAAATGATGCTACAGTGGATATACAAAAGAAACTAGTATGTGGATTGCTTGTGCCTGTTCCTTTATTAGGAGTCTTTAATCATGCCATAGTCACCTTCTGAATAGACTATTGCAATACACTCTAGGTGGGGCTCCCTTTAAAGAGTATCTGAAAGCTTCAATTAGTGCAAAAAGCAGTGGCAAAGACTGTTATCTGTGCTCCTAGAATCGTACACATTACACTCAGCTTCATGAGCTGCATCTGCTCCCGGGTTTAAATTAAGATGCTGGGTTTGAGCCTTAAAACCCTACATGGCATGGGGCCAGGTTAGTTGAGGGATTGCCTCTCCCAGTTACATTTACTGTACCATGGGTGGATGGATGGATGGATGGATAATTGATTTCCAAGATTTTTGTCTTTAGACTTAATTATGTATAAATCTTATTTTTGTCATCAACTGGTTGCGCATAATATACTAAGCTAAACAACCAGGTTTGTACTATACACTGAGGCAAAATTAAATAAAATGATATTATGGCAGAGTGATATGACTTAATTACTGCTAACAAGAGTTTGTACATTTATATAAATTTCAAAATACTGTCAAACAAAAGTAACACTTTTTCACAGAATATGGTTAGATACCTATGGGCATTGCATCCATAAGTATTTGAAATGTTGATGAATGTGGGTTTACAGGCAAGTGTTATGTATAAGCTGGGTTGACAAAATTAAAAATGAGGTGACAAGTCTGGGAAAGCCAAGGGAAATAATCAAAACCATAAAAAAGAGAAAGTTAGAATATTTTGAACATGTGATGTAATACCAGGAAAAATACAGCATATTTCACTTAATCCTCCAGGGAAAAACTGAAGGCAAACAAAATCCAAGCAGAAGAACATAATGGCTTCAAAATCTAAGAAACTGGTTTGGACAAACTTAGGAGCACTTTTTTTTGTGGCTGTTGATAAAAATAGGATCGCCAACATGTGATAACGGATATGGCACAAGAATTGCATCATATCAATTTTCTTCTTGCAGTGTAAATTGCAATATGTAGAGTCTGTGTGTATAAGTAGCCCTTATGACAATTCATTTAGTGACCAGTTGAAGGTACGGCAGCACTGAATAAATGGTGTTTTTTCCCACTCTTCGAAGTTTTGGCTGTTGCAGCATCCGTGAGGTTATGCGATCAAAATTTGTGCACTTGGCAGCCTGCCCACATGACTGCTTAGGCACTTCAAGTCCCTCTCCTGCCTATCTGCAGCCCCCATCTCTCCCCTTTTGACTACCTTGCACAATGGTGATCCTTGGTAGCTCAATGCCCCAGCTGAAGTAGAAGTCCAGGGCCTCTCAAAGTCTCAGCTCGCCATCACTGGTTCCGGGCCTCTTCCTCAGTCCCAGTGCCACTGTCAAAGAAAGAGTGCTGTTTCAAGCCCCACACTGTGACCAGCCATCCCATTGCCACACAAAAGTTGGAGCCACCTCTGCCAGCTTGCAATCCACTGGGTCTGCTGCCCTCAGCTGACTTTCACTGGCATACTAGCCATGCCAGGCCATGAGTGACAAGCCTTGCCATTCTTACAATGCTTTGGAGGCTTTTTAAACAGCACAAGGTCACACATCAGTTGTTCTCTTAATTATGCAGACCATTTTTGAGATGCTTCAAATTGGACCAAGTTGGGGATGGCTTAGAGCAGGGTGCATCATTGCCTATCCACTGGTGGGATTTGTTTATGGCTGCCACAGGAAAAGCCAGGATTGCCATCATTAAACAATGTAGTCACATGATGCCGCGTTAAATGATTATGGGTTTTGGATATTCTCAACCTGGTTTCAGAGATTTTCCACCACTGGCTCTGGAGTTTGTATTTCCCCCCTTGCTCAGAACTGGTTTTGTAATTTAGGGGTCCTCCTATGTTCTCAGCTCCTGCTTAAGGTAGCAGCCATGCATAGGAGGGGCTTTGCCAATTGCACCCATTCCTGCACCAGCAGCCCTTGCTTACCATCCTCTGCAAATCAGAACACTTCTCAGATTATTCTAACAAGAGCTACCCTTAAAGACCATCCATGAACTAATGCTGTTTCCACACAGATTCTCCTCCCAACAGGTGCCCATGCTAACAATCTTTATTTCATCCACAAACTGAAAAAAGATAAGCAATCCTAACGAAATAACACTTTCATATCCAAACCTCAAATACTCCATAATACAATTCACAATTTTTTAAAAAAATCCTTAACTCTTTCTTAGGGAAAGCAGTTCTCTAAAATATCTATAACTCCATCTCATTAGTCATGCTAACCAAAGCCAAAGGGTGTCCAATTAACTTGTATCACAGCTGAAGCTTATCTTTTAGGGGACCCAAACATTTCAGATCCCTCTTTTAAATCTCCGACCATAGTCAACCACCGAAGTTCCAGATTGCTTGGGATGGATATAACCCTCAAAATTCTACCTGGCAAGTAGTCACATCACCTACATTCTTTAATTTAGTGATGCAGACTCCTCTGAAATTGGTGTGAAACAGAACAATACATTCCAATTATCTAGGAATTCATTTTTCAAACAACTATTTCCAGATTTTTTCTTAAAACACGTTCAGATGTCTTTGGAGTATATGGTGCTAAATACAAAATCTCTGGAGTAAAAGAAAAACTTTTAAGAGTGAGTTAAGTGTTTCACTGAAAATGTCGTACCAAAGTTGGTAATCATTAAATTGAGCAAATAGTTTTGGTATCTAAAATAATCAAAACTGAGCAACGCAGGACAAAAAAAAGGGAGGGGTAAAGGCTACCTTGTTCGCTACTTGTAGGTTTCCTGCCAACTTTAATCTCATTAGTTTCAGTTGTCATGTCTTGGGCTTTAAATTTAATCCCTAAACTAATGGTCTAAACTCCATTCTTTACTGTCTTCATTTCTGAGAACTATCAACTAAGACTGGAAAAGGAAGCCATCTTTTTTTTTCAGAATTATACTCTTCCTCTTCTCATTAAGAGATAGACTATCAAGTCCTAAACTGGCCAATATACCACTTACTGTTTATTAAATTTGTTTGCAGATCATCTCACCGCAAGGTGACTTTACATGTTACCAATTATCCCCAATCTTCTCCATCAGCCTACTTTCATCTTCTTACATATGTGGAAAAAAAGTGCTCTGCCTCAGATACATCAATTTATTGAGAAATTACATGTCCCTGAAGAATCAACAGTAGAAAAATTCACTGCAGTAGTGAGCCACTTCAGTGCATCAAATAATTGTCTGGAGATTTCATCAAGATCATTTCAAAAATGTACCCTTCAACTTTAAATATACCAATTATTTAAAAGTATCTGAATAGTTCTTGTTCACAAAGCAATTTAGGCCTATGCAACGTTGTTGACCTAAGAAATGGATGATGACTCAGTAAACTCCAAAATAAGTTTGCTTACAATAACCAGCATAAAGCAAAATAGAATAGAATAACAGAGTTGGAAGGGACCTTGAAGGTCTTCTAGTCCAAACCCCTGCTTAGGCAGGAAACCCTACACCACTTCAGACAAATGGACATCCAACATCTTCTTTAAAATGTCCAGTGTTGGAGCATTCCTAACTTCTGGAGGCAAGTTGTTCCATTGATTAATTTTTCTGTCAGGAAATTTCTCCTTAGTTCTAAGTTGCTTGAATACACTTCTTCTGCCTTGTGAATGCAATGTATGTTGTGTAGGTTGCAGAATCAATAGCTGATAAATGTTAAGAAAGTTTGTATTTTTAGAGTTGATATCATGTAATCCTAAAAATATTTATTAAATCAACAATTCCCAATAGCACTGTCAGAATTGAGCTAGATTCTATAAAATCCACAGCACAGAACATGATTACAAGTTTTTATTAATCATTTCTACAGTCATTTATAACAGTAGTTTACAACAAATTGTGTTATTTCACACAACCATTAAACTTAAATTTGCTAAATAAGGAACTCAAATGCCTGAAATTAACCTTTTCTTAACAGGGAAAGGCAACAACATCAATAGTTTTTTTAAACATATAATAATCCTAAACACATAGAAGTAAATTCCACTGAAATTATAGACAATCAAATACATTTGGCCAGAATCCAATCAGGTTTTCCCAAAACTACTCTGTTTAGAAGATTTTGTATAGTACAACGTTGTTCTATTGCCAGGGGTAGAATTTAATCCCAGGACTCATCTGCTACAAGTATATTCGATGCTGCAAATCCTCCACTGTGATGATTGTCTTTGTTACAGAAAACCTACATGAAACGGAATTCAGATTTTTCAGATAAAACAAAGAAAATTGTATATTGCCAGGAAACAGTGTGCTATCTTTATTTTCAAGATTGTATTAGAACAGAGGTGGGCAATTAATTGTCCCAAGGCACCACATGAGAAAGTAGGACTGTTGTGGAAGGCCGTTGCTGTCCTGACATGTTGCCTCACTCCTGCCACTAACACTGCACCACCCCTGCACCCCAATTCCAATGCTCCCAAACTGGGACTGCCCGCTGGCTGCATGTGGCCTGTGGGCCCTAAAATGCCCACGTCAGCACTTTTTACATTCTTGCTCTCTAACCTACTTGACAACCTTTCAACATTTTTCACAGATAGCCTGAAATACAAGGAACTATGAAGTCCCATTTCTGTATTGTGATGCTCAATCAGCTTCCACTGATAGAGTAATGCATTTGATTTGTCTATAAAAGCCTTAAAAATTACTATTTTCCATCAGACTTCTAGTCCAGTTGCCCCAATTGTTTTTTTCAAAATCAAGAATACTTAATATTTGCTGTATATCCTATATTATCATATATTATCAGACCACTTTAACAATATATGTGTAAAGAACCTTAAAAATGGTTACCTCCACATACATCACTTTCCTTATTATTCTTGTTCTATAATGCTTGCTTCCTCATCTATGCCTATTCCAATATCCACAGCCACAAATATTTCTCTACCTTAATTTGAGAAATATTTAAGGTTCCAAATTTGTTTTGGAGCCAGGGGTCTTTCAAAATTACAATACTTAACCACTGTTTAGGTAAGAACCAGGTTTATTTAAAAGTTACCTTTCGGGAATCAACAGCTGCAAACACATTTCCCTTTGGATTACTAAAACCAATCCCACCTGAACCACAAGCAATTTCTTCTAACCATGCTGGAACCTCTTGCTGAGCCTTAAAAAGGAAAGTTGCATTATTACTTACATATGTACTATTGTCTGTTTAAAAACTATTTTAAAAAATTGGGAAATGAATGACAACTTACATCTGCGAGCACTTTTATTAAGGGCTGTGCAATAGGACTATCTGCTTGAGGATCAAAGAAAGAAATTGCTTTGCCTAGATTACCACAACGTCCAGTTCGTCCAATCCTATGAACATATTCATCAATCGTGGAAGGAAGATCAACATTTATAACATGTTGAACATTTTCTATATCCAGACCTCTTGCTGCTACAGATGTAGCAACAAGAACAGGGCATCTTCCAGTACGAAAATAATGAAGTGCTTCTTCTCTTTCCCTCTGTTCCCGGTCACTAAAAATAGAATAAAAATTTTAATTTGAAAATCAATTTTAACAGATAACTTTGTTTTGTTTACCTTTTTCAATTTCACAATTTAATTAAGCATTTCAGTAGCCCTGTGACAGTAGTGAGACAAGGAATGTGGAATACCTCAGGCCCTAGGAATTGAAACGACTCAATGGAAGACGAAAAAAAATGATTTAAATATTCTGGAAATCACTAGCTCATGGTTTATTTTTTGTTTAGATCAATGGAAGGCACCACAACCCCTCTTAGCTTCCTTACCCACCTGCTGTTAAAATTATTTAAATTTTTTAAAAAGAAAACATTTATTTCTACATTGCTAAGAATTCATTGGGTTCTATTTAGAGCCTAACCATTATTAGAAATGAGAAATATGAATAGCTGCAACCAAGTACTTTGGAAATATCTCCATCTCTCCCCGGAAAAGGGCAACATCATATTTTTATGGCTAGTAAAAAGTGACAAGAAACATAATTACCAATTTAACCTCTGAAAGCAGAATTATCATAATTGGCCTTGGCAACCAATATGGAAGCCATCCATGACCACCAATTTCTTCTAAAAATTCCATTTTAAGTGTTACAAAAATGTTGCCTACTCCACAATTTACTCACCCATGAATACTTGTGGTTGATATGTTTTCTTGGCAAAGTAAAGTTGCAAAAAAATCTGCTTTTTTCTTTGTTTCCACAAACACCATAGTTCGTACATTGCCTATAAAGCAGACAGTAATGTTTTACTCTCCTTCAAAAATGTAAATATAAATACTCCAGATATTTACTTAGCATACTTCCCTTCAACTTCATTCCCACAACTTCATCTCAGTGATGATAGTTGTTCTGAGACATTTATAGTGATCATTCATAAAATGGGGTTTTCCTATGGTTCTGTTATAATTAACAACCGTTAATAACTTTTTGAAACAGCCTGCAACCTTCTTTAGCACAGAAAACTTATTTCCTAAAAACTGATGGATCAACCCTAGAACTATACAATGAACTGGTCAGGAGAAGAAAAAGAACATTGTGGAGAATCCATATTGAACATATTTATATTATTGAACAATGATATGCTACACTACACGTTTGGCAGCTTTGTATCAATTTAATAATTAGTAACATTAAAAAATATATTTCAATTACAAGGCCTCAATTACCTATTTCATTAAGAATTTCAACAAGTTTCTCTTTCTTGTCATACTGCTTAACTTGAAGTATGGTCTGCTGAACATCACTGCATGCTCCTCCCACTTGTCCAACAACAACAAATAAGTAGTCTGTCTTCAAAAATTCTCCAGCAAGCCTTTAAACAATGAAATAAAACTTAAGTTTTATTTTATTTATATATTTCATATGGCATGCATATATCAAGGTGAACTACACTTCACAGAATAGTCTTGACAGCCTGGATATCATCAAGTCCTAAGAAGCAAAGTTGCACTGAAGAAAGGGAGCTTGAAACATGTTTGGAGTATAATGAATTACAGGACCTTCTGAGCGGTGTGCACAAACCTTTCTTGACCAAAAATGTCTAGATAAAATGCATCTATGTTTAATGCATTTGAGAGTTTGGTTCCCACCTGCACATTTATTCATGATGCACCATGGGGGAAAACCAACATGCACCATCTGACTAATGGCATTCAGGTTAATGACATCTTCCAGGACTCTTTTGCCGACCTCACCTCATGTCCGAACAGGTCCAGCATCTGTTTTTCCTGCACAGCTAGACATTCCCACTAAAGTGGCACCTATTTATCTACTCACAATAATGTTTTCAGCTGCTGGGTGGGCAGGGCAAGAGCTGGAAGCAAGGAATGGGACCTCACCCCATCCTGCAATGCTACCAGGACTACAACTGACAGAGTATCGACTATTTCTGGTTGGCAGATGCAGAGTCCTTCAGCTGCTGTGCCACCATGCCTCCGTAAAATTAAATTAAATTATTTTGAAGTAGGGCATCCAGAGGGAGAAGGATCGACAGTATTAATGTTTTTATATAGGTGATCGTCAACCTACAACCACATTCAAGCAAAACAAAATTGTGGCTAAACAAGACAATTAAGTGAGTTTTGCCCCACTTTACAACCTTTCTTATCACAGTTGCTAAGTGAATCACTGCAGTTGTTAAATTAGTAACAAGATTATTAAGCTGGGGAATTTGGCTTCCCCATTGAGTTTGCTTATTCAATCAAAAAAGTGAGCACATGACCCTGGGACATGCAACCAAAATAGCAATAGCACTTAGACTTATATACATTTCACAGGCTTTACAGACCTCTCTAAGTGATTTAGTCAGCATATTGACCCAACAATCTGGGTCCTCATTTTACTAACCTTGGAAGGATGGAACGTTGAGTCAACCTTAGCCAGTGAGAATTGAACTGCCGAACTGCTGACAGCCGGCAGTCAGCAGACGTAGCCCGCAGTACTGCATTCTAACCACTGTGCCACCACAACTCTTAATAAAAATATGCCAGTTGCCAAGCATCCACATTTTGATCATGAGGATGCTACAACAATTTAAGTGTGGAAAATGGCAATAGCATTTTAAAATTAGCACTTAGACATACCGTATATCATTCCATAATGCTTTTACAGCACTCTCCAGCAGTTTACTAAAATTAACAAATGTGTTTCAGCATACTGTCCCCAACAATCTGGGTCTTCGTTTTACTGACCTCGGAATCTTGAATTGGTCAGGATCGAAATCCTGGTTGTAGGCAGAATTAGCTTGCAATACTGCATTCTAACCACTGCACTACCATGGCTCCTAAAATCTAAAACCCTTTTTTCAGTGCCATTCTAACTTCTAACAGTAACTAACTAAATGAACGGCTATAAATTAAGGACTACTTGTAGTTAGTAAAATGTATGTAAAAATACAAGTAGCCACTTCTATAAATATATACTATTTAAATTGCAAAGTTATTGTCCAAATATGACTTGTAAAAATAATAGGGACCCTTCCAAACAATTACTTAACTCAGAAGCTGCTTTCTATGAAGAGTCAATTCCTCCAAGATTAAATAAAGTAGATGTAAAAACCCTAGCAATCGTGATTCAAAATTTTAGCAAGGTAGCATGTGTATTTGTGATTTCACTTGGAATAAATTATCTGAAATTTACACCTTGTAAACTGTATTTTTAAAATGAATTGCTAATACATACCTTTGGATTTCATCAGGGAAAGTGGCACTAAACATTAATGTTTGGCGATTGTCTTTTGAGGGCATGCCTGGAGATGAAATTAATTTCTTTATATCAGGGCCAAATCCCATATCCAACATACGATCAGCTTCATCTAACACCAAATATTTTAATTTGCTGAGCCCAATCTTTTAGAAAAAATCAGATATAAAAGAAAAAATTGAAAAAAAGAATGCATAATTGTACTTTTACATGATAGCTGCACAAACTCAAACTAGTCCTCAAACTTATATGGGATATAAATATAGATATAAAACCTTACATCTTTTCCCGTATTTTGCTTAAAAGACATCTCACACAAACGATTAATTATACCTAGATGCTGCTATATTAACACCTACAACGTATCTACCATACCACAGGAATACTGAAGAGGCATAGGCCAACCATTTAAGTACAGAAATGAAGCAACCAACGTAACCTCCTTCAGTTACACTGTCAGTAGAGAAAACTTTGCTGTTCGTTTTTGAGACTATGATTTATATTTCTTAAAAAATAAAAGTATTTAATAATTAAAGATTCATTTTATCCATAATTCATATGCTGCCCTTCCCTTCCCTTCCTTCATATACAAATCATTCTATGGTTCTTCATTCCCTTTAATTTTACATGTCCAACATTCCAGATAAGTATCAAATCTATTTAAGTGTTTATGTTAAATGAACTTGGATGGTAGGATTAGCAAACACAGTAAAGATTCTGGAGAGTCAGAATCTCTACAGATAATTCTCTATGAACAATCATGTTACCTAGCTTGAAAAAAATCACAGCACTATGTTGTAATGGTGAGAATCTGTTCTCACCCTTTTAGCTTTAACAAAATCTGTATTTTATCACTGGCCTGATCACATATCAAGTACCTTTTTGTGAATCAATTTGGAATTTGTTAACTCATCTCCATAACCTCCTCAGTAAAAACTTGTTTTAAATTGTATCTAACCCTTGCAATAAAACAGTGTTAACTCTGAAGTTTGAACAGTCATAAAGTTTAATGTTCACTCTATTCATGGTGACCCAGAGATATTACCTTTTGTCTGCCTATGATATCCAAAAGTCTTCCTGGGGTAGCACACAATATATTACAGCCTTGCTTTATCTGATGAATTGTATGGCTCATTTGTATGCCTCCATAAATCACAACAGGTCTTACACAAGTTCTAATTAACAAGAAAATATATAATTAAAATATAGAGTTAGAAACAGTGAACACATGTTGTATTACTATTAATAACGAAGCCTTAAATCTCTGTGATATAATAACAGATCTAATACTATATTGCTTTGATTGTTTGAAATATTTAAGCCACAACATTTGATGGTCCAAATTTAAAATTAAGTAGTGGACCCAATTATATTATTTTAAGATAATATAGGAGTACAATTATGTAAGAAATATATATAAATACTATTTTTTACTAGCCAGATTCATTTGTGTACCTTTCTCTAGCCCAGTCTGCACTATTATAAACTTGTGAATACTTATAATTTCTTTATTATTCCTAAGTATGGCTTCAGCTTTTTCTATTACATATAACTAGAGGTAGGTTACTTCCGGTTCGGGCGAACTGGTAGTGAACTGGTAACGCCAGGATTTGGAACCTACCTCTGCATATAACAATAAAATGTTGATTATTTGCACATGAATCAGCAACAACTTTGGTTACTCCCAGAAAGATGGAAAATCGCTTAACTAAAGCAAATCACATCCCACTGTATCAATCCAAGACAGGTTCCCAGTGTTCGCAACCATTATGACATTTTAACTTTAGATACATATTGAGTAGATACGTATAAACACTTCTTCTTTAGTGGGAGCACTCAGCCATTGTGATTTAGTTTACACACTTACCCATATGAAAATTTTCTTGATTCCAGAAAGATCTGATTTATCAGTTCTCTAGTTGGTGCTACAATTATACATTCTGGTTCTTGTTCCACTTTGAATTGACTGGCAGTCACTCCATCTCGCATCATGTGAGCTAAAATTGGTATAAGAAAAGCTGCCTAAAGGGCAAATATATTACAATTTAGAAATGCTGCACTTCCAGTACATGACAAAGTTAAATAAAAGTACATTTTTCTAATTCAATTTTGGATGTTTATTTAAAAAAAAATTAAGTAGTACCCTAAAATATAAAGGTCCAACATCTACTTTCAAACAATGAGGATTTCTTAATTTTTTAATGTCAAAGAACTATGATTTAGTTATAAATCTCATTATCATGAAAAGGGATTCACAAACAGTACTAAGAAAACTGTGCCACAAAGATGGTCCAGTCATACTAAAAGAATTAATTTAAACATTAAGAATTTTATATTAGCTTACTAAAGAAGTACATCAAATATCAAGAATATTCTTATTTTTTAATTTAAAATGCTTCCAATTAATTAAAGTTGTTATTCAATCATAAGAAACTTTCATAACTAATATATTAATTTCAATTTTAGTGTTTTCACTAATAAAAATATTTCACAAATGAAAACTGCAGCTGTGTTGAGAATGAAATATTAATACAAAGGACCAAGTCACTAATTTAAAAACTTTAAATGTTGAAATTAAAAAAAAATGAAATAGTAATAAATCCACCCCAAACCTCAACAGAATTTTGTATTGCGCGCTTACTGTTTTTCCAGATCCTGTTTGTGCACAGGCCATTAAGTCACGTCCTGCCAGCACAATAGGAATACTATATTTCTGCACAGGAGTAAGTTTAAAATATCCAACTTTATCTATGTTCTTTATTAAGGTTTCACACAGACCAGCTTCTTCAAAGTTCTAAAAATGGATTAAATAGAAAACTAGATTAGCAAAACTGAAAGTATAATTTTAAAACACTAGCATATCACAACTTCAATGTTTTATGGGTTACTTTAAACCATAACCCCAGGCATAGCCTCATAAAGCAAGCTAAAAAAAAAAGCCTAAAATTCTTCACAGAATCAGAACAAACAACAATCCATTTTATGTTAATTTTAATGACAAGGCTTGCCACTAATTATATATTTTCATTTTTAATCAGAAGTTATTGATTGTAGGTATTTTCTATTTTGTATTGTACATTCTGTACTGCCTCCAAGGAAGACAGGCTGAGGTGGGCTGCAAGGTTTTGCTGGTTGTGGGTGTGCACGTGCGCTTCACTCACATGGGCCCCTTTGAGACAGAAATGAAGCGTCAAACCAGATCCTAATCAGCTCAGGCAGTTCCAGTGAGAACAGCAGGGGCAGTGCTGAACACAGCTGGGCCAGCCAACAAGCCAGAAAGTAAGGTATAAATGGGTAGCATAGAACATGGGGGGGTGGGCAGGCCCAGCCAGCGATCAGAGCTAAGGGTTCGCCGAACCCTTGTGACCATGCAGCAGCCCACCACTGAAGACAGGTTGGCCACTGCAATATGGAATAGGAGCCATGGTGGTGCAGTGGTTAGAATGCAGTATTGCAGGCTAATTCAGCTCATTGCCAAGAGTTTGACCCTGATCAGCTCAAGGTTGATTTAGCTTTCTACCACCTTTCCGAGGTGAGTAAAATGAGGACCCATATAGAGGGCTGTAAAGCACTATGAAGCGGTATATAAATTTAAGTGCTATTGCTGTTGCTAGGCCCATAATTTGGCATGGAGAAAGGGAGGGAAGACACTCTTAAAACCATGAAGGAAGATGATTAAGTTGAAGGAAAAGGAGGGACAAATTTGAAAGATTTGGGCTAGGCATATGGATCCTGCAGCACTAGAACACTGGAAGTGGAATAAATGGAATAAAAGATGTGGGCTGCAAAAATTTGGTTTTGGTTTTAAACATTTTTTTCCTATCTCATGCACAACCTTAACCCTCCCCTCAAGTTACTAATGTATAATAAGTTAGATACCTTGTTTTCTTCACCAATTAATTACAAAGCTTATTGATAAATTGTGAAACTCTGATGAGCAATGTATTACTTAAAATAACTACTATCGTTTTCTTCAGCTCTTTATTTTTCTCAAGAATTTTAAACATTCACTAACCATTATTGCTGGTGGAGGATCAAGCCCTGAAACTTCCACAAGAATATTATCATATTTATCAAAATTTATTCCTGTCTGGTAATGTGCAAAGATGCTATTTTCATCATCTGGTGGTGGTGGTGGTACGTATGTCACCTTTGGATCTGCAAATACAAGAAAGTTATTCTGATTCTCAAAAAGTTCTGTATGTGAAGCCAAAAACTTATCTGCTTTCATTCTTTCTAATATAACATATTTACAATACCACCTGTCCTGCATTACCATCTGATTTCCATATCCCTTTATTGATGAAATAAAAAATGATTTGGATGGGAAAAAATAGGACATAGAAGGAACTTTAAAACTTGTTTACTTTCAAAACACACTTACTTCTTCCCATTATATTTGCTTCTTCACTGCTTTCTTTGTAGTCCCCTGTTAAAAGAATTGTTAAGTTACAAAGAGCAGAACTGAATTTTGAAGTTATATAGGAGCTATATGGATCATTCTCAAATTAAGAATTTTAAATGAAACAGAAAAGGAATGTTCAGGAATAATACACACACACAGAACTATCACGAAGTTCTAGTGTTAAATCTCTATTTCAAAAAATCAAGCAATAAACTGAATTCACAAGTGTTCTTTATACAAAGAGTCTCTATCATCTAAATTGTTGCTTTCCAGATAACAAAGGTCATATCTGCTGAAAATAACAGAAAATAACAGAAGCAGATAAGAGGGCAATAGGTAGTACATAAGCTAAAATTATTTTTACCTCTGGCTTCAAATTCTCTTCTACTTTCAAATTCACCTGAAAAAATGCATATGTTTTAATAATATTGTGATTTTGACTGTGATAAACAAATTATAATCATAATTAGTTTACAACATTCATCTACATTGTTGAGATGTTTCTGTACTTTAATTTATTTGGCATACTTTGAAAATGTATGGTCAAGAATAAAGAAAACTGTAGTGGTAGAACATCTGCATTATACCAGATTTCTCTTTCCAAATTCACAAAAACTTGAACTTATCTATGAGCTCATCTCTGTTCCACTATTTTGCATTTTTAAATATATCAATTGCCAATAATTTTATTCAGATGAAGTCAGAAAAAATGAACATAAAAAAATTTCACATTAATTTTTACCTGATGGAATACCAAAGCCTCTTCTTTTAAAACCTAAGCCGACAGAATTTTGTCTTCCATCTTGTTTCATATTTGCATCATCTGCTATAATATAATCAAAGATTTATTCAGTCTTACATGCTACATTTTTCATGGAAAAGATGTTCAATACATTTTAACTAACATAACATGTTACAACAATTCTCAAGCTCTTAAGCCTCAAAACTCCAGTCCAATATTTTTCTACTTTTTTTAGCACATATATTTTTAGCAGGTATTCATTTGTAAATGTTTCTTAGGCGCAATACTAATTACCATTCATTTCTAGAAATTTCTGGCTCACGCAATGTTTGAATTATTCCAAACTATAATACTTACTTGTAAATCGCCCAAATCCTCCTCTATCACCTCTGAATGATCCTCTTCCAGGTCTACGAAGAACACTATTGTCATCATTCATTCTTTGAAAACCTAATGTGGGGGAAAAATCATTTGCTTCAGAAAGACTAAATAAAAACTAACAGTGGTAACCAAATCAGGTTTAATTTGTAAACTGGAGTTTGTAAACTATGCTTTGTGAGCTGGTTAATGAGTAAAAGCATTATTCAAAACTATGTAACTGGGTAACTCAGCAATACAGCAATCATATGCTAATCTGGTGTATGAACTCAGCCTCTATCCAATATAGTGGAAAAGGACCACTGGAGCAGAGTTTCAAACATTTAATAAAGTACTATTTTACTCCCCAACATGCAAAATAGGTATGAGTCAAACCAGATGTGCTTCTTAAAAGAAAAAACAAAACAAAATTACAATAAAGTGCAATGCTACCACAAAGATTTTTATCATTAGAGATCATTATCTAATTATCTAAGCTGTCATGCCGCAGTGGTTAGAATGCAGTACTGCAGGCTAACTCTGCCCTGCCTACAGCCGAGTTGAATCCTGACAAGCTCAAAATTGACTCAGCCTTACATCCTTCTGAGGTTGGTAAAATGAGAAGTCAAATTGTTGGGGGCAATATTCTGACATTTGTAAACCGCTCAGAAAATGGCACTAACTTCCAGGCATGTGGTCTGCATGAATGCCAAGGAATGGAGCAGACTACTCTCCTACCCCCACAAGCTCTGAAGCTCCAAACATATAGTTAAGTGAAGAATCAGTGACAGGTATTGGGGAGGAGGGTATGGGACTAGTGGGGTAAAAAGGCATGCCCTAGGCCAGTGTTGGCTAACCTTTTCAGCACCCAGTGCTGAAACGGAACGCACGCGTGGGGGAGCACGGAAAACTAGAAAAGCAATTCCCCGCCCCCGGTGTACACACATAGGACCACTAGAAACCGGAAGAGCCGTTCCCCAGCACACATGAGCTGAGCTTCCAGTTTCTAGCATGCTCATGCTCACTGGTCACCTAGTCTTCCGGTTTCTGGCGGACATGCATGCACTGAGACCAGCTGGCCAGCATGCATATATGTGCCAGAAACCGGAAGACCTGCTTCCTGGAGTGTGCATGTGTACCAGGGAGCTGCTCTTCTGGTTTCCGATGCTTCCATACGCGCAAAGACCAACTGGCATGTGCGCGCCAAAACCCAGAAGAGTAATGGGAAACGGCTGGTGTGCCTGGAGAGATGGCTCTGTGTGCCACTTCCGGCACGCATGCCATAGGTTCACCATCACGGCCCTAGGCGTATAAGGACCCCAAGAGGTGAGAAGTGGAACACAGGGGTACATTAGGATGTGGGGGAGGACCAGGGCAGATTGGTTTGGGCCTGCACCAGGGTTTACACTGTGTCCCTCACCTAAAGTACCCTATTCTCCACTTAAAAACTACATAGGGGAGAGCAGGGATAAGTGTCATTGAGGGGATCAAGTGGCCATATCACTTAACAACCATCACAACTTGCGACCATAGTGGGCAGGATCCATTATGGTTGAAATTGAAGACCATCTCTAATAAAGGGAAAATATTTTTGTTAGTTAACATTTTTTAAAAAATAATGAAAATGTCCTTACGTTGCTAAAGCAGCAATAGTATTTAATAGCAATAGCAATAGCAATAGCAGTAGACTTATATACCGCTTCATAGGCCTTTCAGGCCTCTCTAAGCGGTTTACAGAGAGTCAGCATATTGCCCCCAACAATCTGGGTCCTCATTTTACCCACCTCGGAAGGATGGAAGGCTGAGTCAACCCTGAGCCGGTGAGATTTGAACCGCTGACTTGCTGATCTAGCAGTAGCCTGCAGTGCTGCATTTAACCACTGCGCCACCTTGGCTCTAAGACTTACTACCACTTTACAGCCCTCTCTAAGCAGTTTATTGCCCCCAACAATTTGGGTCCTCATTTTACCCACTTTGGAAATTGTGGGGGCAATTGGAAGGCTGTGTCAACCTTGAGCCTGGTGAGATTTGAATTGCCAAACTGCAGTCAGCAGAAGTAGCCTGCAGCACTGCACTCTAACCACTGCGTCACTGTGGTTCATAAAGTAGCTTTAACCCAACTATGCCTGCCTATGATAATGAACATAGATCATCATGAATTCAATTGTAATTTTACTGTTTTAGCTGTGATACAGCTAATATTAGATGCAGGTTTTCTAGTAACATTCAAATTTTAATTGTTTTTTCCACTGTAGAGGGTTACTGTTAGCTGGATTGGAAATTATTACTTGATTCAGGTTTGTAATCTTACCTCTTACAAAACTTGAAGATTTTCTTTCTTCAAACCCATTTCCTAGTATAGTTATACAAAATTAATAATAATTATTAGCTGACAATGATATTCTTTTTTCAAACTATATAAAAATTAAATAACTATGGAAAATCAGATTTCTAAAGTAGTACCCATATTAATTATCCTTTTTTCTGACTTCTTAATTTCTGTATATTATTTATTTAGGTCATGATTATTTTCTGAGCAGTAGATATATTTATTTGGACATATTTTCTAGAGTTGAAAATATTTTCTAAAATCTACATTCTTTTCCACATACACCAAAACCATGTAAATTAAAACAGGAAATAAAGCCAGTTCTTTTAGATGGAACAGAAGGAATTAATTACATAATAAATTCTGAGCATAAAACATTTCATGCAGAAACATCTGGTTTTATGAGTTTAATGACTAAAATGAGATATGTGTTCACAAGCAAAACTACTTTATACAGAGACTATTATGGTTCTTCCATGCAAGAGGGGGATAGAAGCAAAGGAAAGCAAGGCTGATGGGGTTCTCTGGAAATGGCCTGCAGGGACATTGGCAACAGTGGAGGAGAGACAGGAGAGGGAGGACAAGTGAGCCAACGGGTCTGTGCTATCACTGGAGCTGAGGGGAGACAAGGAAGGGAAGATGCTGAGAAAAGAGATGGTCAGCACATAGAAAAAGCAGAGGAGTGGCACACACCAGCCTAGCGCTGCTCACCCCATAAGATCTTCCAAGATTCCCTGCAGATTTGTTTAGGTCGAACTGTGGACAATCTGAAACAGTTCACCAAACTCAATGGAATGGAATGTTTCACAATTTGAAACAGTATTTTCAGTTTCATACAACATGTAAACACAAATGCAAAAATATGTCTCATTTATGATTTACACTAAATATTGTTTTATCAGAAGTACTCAAACTTTAAGAAATCAGCTCCCTTTTTCTGTCTCTAAAATATTTTTATATACAAATTAAAAAAATATTTATAAAAGTTATATGGCCACCCATCTCACAAAAAGCGACACTGGGGAGGGGAGAAGAGGGGAGGGCAAAGGGAAGAAAGAAAGAGAAAAATACCAAGTGTCATATTAAGTTTTTTTTTTTAAAAAAATAATAAAGCACAAAAATGTAGATTAGCAAGGGAGTGGCCTCACTGAAAAATTATTAAAACACATTAAACAAACACTATCAATAATCTTTTCTGTAAATGACAAATAAAAGTTTTACATTATAGTATACCTCTGTTTCCAAAAATTCTTCCACTTCCAAATCCACCTGTTTGTTTCTCTTCACCATTACGGTTTTCTCTGATACCTAATAAAAAGAATAAAAAATAAATAATAATAATAATAAATATTTTAAATGGTTAAGTGCATTTCTAGTCAGTTTTTTCACACATGTAAAATCATTTACAAGTTAAGTATAATTGCTCGGCCTGTTTCATTTTCCAATGTTCTATGGTTACCCAGCTAGTTACTGCTTATTTCCAAGTAAATTAGGGTTCAATGGATGAAGTTTCAATGCTGGTAAAAGAAAGATCTAGGTATAGTTAGTTGCAGCACTGATTACACTGATTTTTCCTATCTCATGCAGCCATCAATATACATTATAAGACACACCTGGAATTTCTAAAATTAAGTTAGATTCTGCAACTACTTTCTGTATATAGATTGCATATATCGATTTTAAAGTATATTTACACACAGGCATCTTGTCCACATATTTATTGCTAAGTATCTGTATGCTGAATAAGCTGGCTATATCAATCTGGTGCCATAACCCTGGTTTGCAAAGTGCAGTGGAGAATTTACATTTGTACCAACATTAAATGAACATTAGGTTTTGGATAATATGTGAGTAGAGAGTATAGAAAGCTCAATTAAAAAAGTACTCAAAACCATAATTTAGATACATTGGTTTTCATTAACTAAACTTTGGCTAATTACTAGCAAGCATCCCAAACTCATGTATTCCTTCCTTTATACAATAAATCATTGTATTACTTGTTTCATAGCTTGCTTGTAAAGCTGAATTTGATGTACTTCAATGTTTTAACGCACCCTGGACTCATGCATAGTAGAATACAATAACATGGTGTGCATGATTCTGCAATCCAGGACAATTGTGATTTATGGAGCCATACATGAAGGCAATCTCTTAATTGGCAAGATGCCTAAATTGGAAAGACAAGATGCTGGTAGTAACTTGATATTTCTGTTTTACTGTGATGCATAGAATTAGAATCCACAGATCATGCCCTCCCTCCCTCCCCTACACTTCATTTTAGTTTCCAGGTATGGAAAGAAGCAGCACATAAGTTTTCGATTCACCAGATTCATTGGCTTATATTCATATATAACCCTTTCCCCACTTTCCCAATCTCTATCATGACCAGAAAAATCAAAGGCCCAACACCTATTAAACCAAAAATAAGCAACTGCAATCACAGAAAAAAAAGAGGAAATTCTGTTTCTTAAACTACAACCCCTTCATTATTAAGAATTCCTTCAAAATTCTGTGTTCCTACTCACATCCTAAGTTCTTACTGTGTTCTTACTCACATCCTCTTTAGAGGCCTGTTCTGGGACTCCCTGGGAACAGGAGTGATTTTTCAGCAGTGACTTCTCAACTTTCAAATGCCTTCAGCAGAAAGGTACACCTAATGACATTTTATTCTCTTTCTGCTATCAAACATAGCATTTTAATAAGCTACTGTTGTTGTGATATTTTAGAATGTCTTTTCTGCTTTTTTCTTTTATTGCTTCTTTTGTTTGAATTTTAAACTATTTTGAGATTAATTTTAAGTAAAACATTATCAATTCAGTGGTATGAACAAATCACTTAGCCACACATTTTCTCATACATGTTCTCTCTTCTCTTGATTATAAATTACAGAACCAGGACTGAAGCTCCATATGTCCTCTAACAACCTTAGACACAGCTCCAGCAAATCTCTAGAAGGTTCAATTGTGATAAAAGGAAGTTCATTTTTGTAACTGTACTTAATACTAATCAGAATTGCCACCGAGTTATTACATTTGATAGACAATCTCCAACATACACTTGAAGACCAAATACATCTCACAGTCCATAAAACATTATGCATCTTCGACAAAGATATATTACTTTCTAACTCTTCAGATGAATTTTCTTTCAACCAAAATGATTTCATTTTAAAACTGAAAGGAAACAGCACAATACTAACCAGTAACTTAAATATCACACCCCTCCCAACTCTTGGGCTTGTGTGTACAATGTAATTTTGAGACCACCTTGTCATAAAAGGACTGTCATGGCCATATTAGATATAAGGGCTTGCAAGTATTAAAACTTCATTATTTGCAACCATCTTGTTTTTTTTTTCTTCAAAACGTGCATTCTTATTATATTCTTTAACACATACCTGGCTGTTTTATACTCTGAGTGAAATTGCAAAAGGTTTCATTTGTTCTCATGGATATGCTGCCCTACAAGATGAAGTAAAGAATCAGACCACACAGGAACAGTTATGTGAAGAAATTTCTAAAAGTCAGTTATCTTATAAATATAATAAAATACATCTGGCTTAAACAGAATTTGGCTTTTAACATTTTGAATAATTATTTCCTTAAGTACTCCAGCTTGGAGAATATAATTAATATTACACTTTCTCTTTCCCTATCCATCTGTGATTACTGGTAACAAATGCAGTGGCTTAGAAACAGCAATTTATATAGCCAAAAAAAATGTCATTTACTTGGAATCATGGCTCATTCCCAAACAAATTGAATAGAATTATAATCTAAACCTCTAATCAAGCAATTTGTTTTGAAACAGAAAGCAGGTGTAAAATTACTCTTTGTTCAACAAAGGAGGAGAATCAAGTGGCAAAGTGATTTAGAACACTTTAGACTACAAAGGAGTAATCGACAATGTTTGTTTGCTAATATAACCACATGCCACTCAAAGTCATTCAAATCCCAGAATTTGGGACGGAAGTTTCCAGAACATTTTTAAAAGCAGGTTTTGGAGTTCTGGGATATTGCCTATAGTAAAACCACCACCTTCTGAAGTTGAGGAAGAGTGGATTAATTATATCATTAACATTAGGCGCCAGCGTCCCTTGACTGGGTGAATCTCTAATAGGAAACTTATAACAGGGAACCAGGCATTAGAACTTATTCCTCCCAAAGACTTGACGAATTGTTCAGTAATCCTTCTACTGGGCTCCAAATTTCAACCGACCTCCCCACCCGTTGTAAAAACTAGTCTGAGTAAGTCAGCGCGCATCTGACCCAAATATTGGAAAAACGAAGCACGCTTTAAAACTTCCAGAGACACCCACCGGCTTCTGGAAGCTGGGCTGGAAAACCGGCAAGGCCCGGCTTCCCTCTCTACTAACATCTTCTGTAAACTCCGTATCCCAGTTCTCGTCACCCATGGCAGCGCCGGCCAACTCCACGTCTTCCTGCCAAGAGAGAAAAACAGCCGAAGCGTCAAACCGAGGAGAGGCAAAGCGCAGCCCTTAATATGGCCGAAGGGAGACCTCCTCCCACCAACTCGGAGTCGCCGCTCTGCCTTTAACAGAAGGCCCCTTTTTGCCATCTACTCCTGCTGCCTCCTCTCCCGCCAAAAAAAAACAACAACCAAAAACCAGGCAACCTGCCTGGCGGCCGCTCCACTCCCCCTTCTGAGGCCACCCGGCGACAAGAGACCTGCCCAAAGGCAGCGAGGCTGTATCTCCTTCGCTCCTTGTTGGTTCTCGTTGGAGCGTAGAACAGCCTCGAACCCCACCTTAACGGCGCGCGAGCCTTAAGGCGACGTAGCGCCTCGTCGACACGTGCTCCAGACGTTGCTAACTAGCCGTCGCCACCGCCGCCGCAGCTGCCGCGGCCTCTTAATTGTCTCTGCGCCGGCTGCCCGAAGCGGCCAGGGAATTGGGGAAGCGGGAGGGGGGTGGGTCTCAAGCAGGCCTTCGTGCTTTTCGCAAACCTGGGAGCAAATTTCCCCAAGGGCCGCGGAGGGGGACATAGGAGGGTGAGCGGCGTGTTAATTTTTTGATTTTGCTCTTCGAGCATTCCCCCCACACCCCGAGCCTCGTCGATGTGTAAGGAAGGCATGCCCGTCGTGTGGCCTAGGGTTCCCTTTGCTTACGGGTTTAAAATTGAATGCTTACGGGAATGTTTATTCATAATTATATAATTACTCATATTCATTCATCATATAATTTATTAGCGAACTATAAGGTCTACGGGATTCTCTTAACTGTTTTTTTTTAAAACTAGTGCTCGATGTAACAAATAACAACTAATGTGTTTCGTTATGTACCAAAAATTGGATTCATATGGATCTTGACAGACTTAAAACACTGGGCCCATCTAACAAAATCAAATTCAATGTAGAGAAAAGTAAAGTCCTACACTTGGGTAAGAGAAACCAAAAGTACACATATAAACTGGGTAAAACCAGTCTTCATAGTAGTGACTGTGAGAGAAATCTTGGGAGTGTTAGTGGACAACCAGCTAAATATGAGCCAGCAGGTAGCCAAAAATGCCAATGCAATCCTAAATTGCATTAACATAGGGATACAATCAAGAGGTACTACCATTCCATACAGCCTTAGTAAGATCACACTTAAGAGTACTACTACATGCAGTTTTGGTCACCATACTATAAAAAAGATGTTGAAACTCTAGAAAAAGTGCAGAGAAGAACAACCTGGATGATCAAGGGACTAGAAGCTAAAACATGAAGAATGATTATAGAACTGGGCATGGCTAGTTTAGTGAAGAGAAAGACCAGAGGAGACAAGATAACAGTGTTCCAATATTTGAGGGGCTGCCACAGAGAGGAAAGGGTCAAGTTGTTTTCCAAAGCACTTGAAGACCAGACAAGGAATATTGGATGGAAACTGACCAAGGAAAGATTCAACCTAGAAATATGGAACTTTCTGACAGAACAATCAATCAATGGAACAGCTTGCCTTTGGAGGTTGTGGGGGCTTCATCATTTGAGACTTTGAAGAAGAGATTGGACTGCCATTTGTCAGAAATGGTATTAGGGTCTCCTGCTTGAGGGGTGGTGGTGGACTAGATGACCTATAAGGTCCCTTCCAACTCAATCTAATCTATATGATTAAATTATTTAAAGGTTAAGTAAATTAACTGGATTTAACAACCGTGTTTGTGGGGCAGTGGCTTCTATGAAATCATAATTGGAAAAATATTTTTAGTAGGAGTGGGCATAAAATAGAAGAAGTGCTTTGCTATGAATCCAAAACAAGCCACTTATTTGGAAGACCTGTCAAAAGCCTAAATGTTCTAAAGAGGTGACCATTTATGGCAAGACTGGTATGCCTCTTCTTCTGGAGCTGAGTGCCAGCTTGCCCAACAATTTTTCCACTGCTGTGTTTTCCCTACATCCCCATAGCCACGCCTGGGATCCTGGCTTCAGTCCTAATATAATGGCCTGCTCACTTGTCCCTTTCCCCATCTCTCTTTAGGGCAACTGGGGAGATCAGCCAGGAGGATGTGTTGTATTGCACTTTAAACAACATTGTTATCTGAGGGAAGGGTTGCAGGAGACAGTGGACAAACTACCTCAATGGCCTTAGGTTTTCTTTCAGTTTTCTATGAAACACTTTTGCTTAGGACATGTGTTCCTTTCCTACACCTTTGGTCTCAAGTCTGGACACACATTTTGGTTCGATATCTGAACTAAGCACACATCTAGATATGGGTCACTATTATGTGCAGAAGTGGAGAAGAAAGTTTTGACACGTCTCTAGTTTTATTTGTGCAGCCTGATGCTTTGCGTATACAAAGGTAGATTGCTGCACATGCTTGTTTCCACTCTGCCTGGATAAGCCAATACTTGTACAAGTAAAAGCCAGAGTCTGATCATAACTTATTCTGCTACATAAGATGTTGTCTTCAAGCAAAGCTACTGGGAAAGCTCACAACACGTTCTTTGAGAGTCTCAGCAATTATGCAATGGATCTAATCAAAATTTGTTCCTGCTGTACCTGAGCTAGTTAGTGACTTGTCTGAACAAAAGTGAGGAGGAAAGGCTGAAGTATTCTCTAGACAAACCAACTACAAATTCAAGATTTTCTATATTTGCTTCTATAAAGAACAAACACTGATCCAAAATAAGCGTAGCTATTTCAGACATTATGCAAAACTAAGCATCTTCATCCTTCCATTAAAAAAGATTTAAATTTTGATTTTTGTTATGTTACTAAGTTTTAAATTTAAGTTAATTATAATTATATTTTACCTAAATGTTACTCAAATTTATATAATTTTTTTATTTGCTTCTAACCCCAATGAAATATTTGTTTAATTCACAGGGCTGTCATATAAAGGGATTTCTAATTTTAAGGACTCCTAGATCATCTGCAGAGTTCAAGAATTCTGCAAAGTATTAGACTTCATTACATGATTACCATTATTTGGGGTGGTAATTAAGTGACTTGAAATAATATTAAAATAAGGATCAATGAGGAAGATAGCAAATTTCACACCAGTGTAATTGGGTTAACAATGGACTCAAGGATGAGTAGATTGTACTTCAAATTATACAGGTTAAAAACTAAAGGCTGACCTTGTAACTTTTTGTTTTGGGAAATTTCCTTCATCTTTCTCACTTCTAAAATAGTTTTCTTGGGAAGTGATTAACAGTGTTGTATGCTGTACTTCATATACTTTACTGTCATTTTTATATTCAGTTTTCCTAATGAGTATTTTTTATAATACAGCTCTAAGTTCTCTAACAGTTGTATAGAAAGAGAAATTAAAAATATCAACTTCCAGCCTTTTTTATAATACCATAGTTCTGAAAGAGCACTATATTCTCAGCCTAATGACTTACAGTTATGAGGGATGTCAGCTCCTATCATGGCCAATCAACATGGCCATGCTGAGTTGAAAAAGCTGGTCAGAAATCTTTCTACACTTTGTTTTTGTACAATATTTGAAACCTTTTAAAGAAAAAAAGCAGAAGTATGAAAAGCTCAAAATAAAAAGACAATAAGTTTAAAAATCATTAAAACAATTACAAATGTTTGGGATAATGCTAGTTTACTTCTATGCATTAGAGCAGATTTTGCATCATTTTAAAACTACAAATTATTACATTTCAAGTTAAATGTGGTGTTGTCAACAATAATTACACCATATGAAATACATATCAAAATGAAAAAAAATAGATTTAAGTAGTCAGTTAATAATTTATCCTTTAAGAAATCATCCAAGAGTTTATGTTAAGAAATTAAAATTTTGGCTGTGGTACACATGAGTAGACCTTTAATACAAAAATGGTTTCCATATTAAATTCTACATCAGATTTTGTTTTTTCAAATACTGTATAAAATCATTTTAACTGTTAATGCATACTCTTACAATTAAATTTCCCATGTACAAAACTAGTATAATTTATAGAAATGTTTTAGTAAATTAATCCTTAGTTTATGACCACAATTGAGCCCAAAATTTAAGAGAGAAATTTCTTAAGTGAGTTTAGCCCAATTTTATGACCTTTCTTGCCACAGTGGTTAAGTGAATCACTGCAGTTAAGTTAGTAACAGTTGTTAGGTGAATCTGGCTTCCCCATTGACTTCTTGTCAGAATGTTGTAAAAGGTGATCACATGATCCCAGGACACTGCAAAGGTCATAAATATGAATCAGTTGTCAAGTATCTGAATTTTGATCACATGACAATGAGGCTGCTGCAATGGTCATAAATGTGAAAAATGGTCACAGGTCATAGGTCCCTTTTTTCAGTGATATTCTAACTTTGAGCCATGGTGGTTGAGCCAGTATGGGCATACCAGAGCCTGCGCAGAGCACTGGGTACTATTCCGGTACGGTGCTCTGGAGGGCCCACCTGCCTGCTCGCTCCTTACCTGTCTTTAAAGTCTTTGGCGCTTCTGTGCATGATGCATACAGTGCCTGCATGACGCTCCACTGAGCAGCTGGAGTGTCGCAGAGGCATTGCTGGACAATAAGATGCATGTGCGCACGCTACGCACGTCCATGTGGATGACACCGGGCCCATTCCAACCATACCGGTTGGAACGGGATCCATAACCCACCATTGCTTTGAACGGTCCCTGTTGTAAAGTCAAAGCTGTTGTAAGTTAAGGACTACCTGTACTAAACTCTTCAAGATTATAATCTGATGCAGACATACCTAAGCAGCTATTAGCAGCTTTTTCTTCTTCTTGCCCAACTAAGGGTTTTAACCACAAATTGACTGTTGAGAATATTGCCTCAGTCTGTACTTCTTGATGTTTTTCTCATGACCAATTTGGCTGACCTAGGAGTTCAGTCACACTGTTTCAGTTGATCAAAGATGCATTTATTCCTCACTGACTACATGTATTTGGGAAGAGAAGGGCTCCATTAAAAGTACTATTGATAATATAGTAACCTCTATATCTCACAATCTCCAGGTATAACTTATTATTTTATTTATTAAATTTATATGCTGCTTTTTTTTTGCTACCAAGAGACTCCTATTCACCTATTTAAGTTCAGTTAGGCACCAGGCTGAGGAAAGGCTCTAAAAACGAGTAAACTTGAAAAGGAAACTTCTTGGAAACAAATTATTTGTGTTGTTATGGCAATATTCTGAAAATAACAGAATAGATGTTTGCTTTCAATATCATAGAACTTGACAATTTTGGAACATTATAACAGAATGAAATTAAATGTTGAATTTGCTTTTAACCTGCCAGGTGTACAAAGAAAGTGCTACGCCGTGAAGAACTGAGCAAATGGATTCCTGGGCAGTATCTTTCCAAACTGAATGTGTTATCATTGCCTGAATATATATGTTGCCTGAATACATAGGGTTATGGTTCTCTGCATCAGCTAGGATTGAGTCAGGCAGAAGAAGGCTGACATGTTGATAAACACTGGATTTAATTTCAAAAGGGGTGGAAGTGGAACCAATCCCCAAGAGAACAGTGGTTCAGTTCTCATGCTATATTTACTTATGAGGAAAAAGAAAATCCCACCTCCCAAACAAGCAGATTAATGTTGAGGGAAGGACAGCTTTTTAGTAAACGTAATACTTCTTCCCATGCCAGCCACCCTTTCCCCTTGCTATATAGCCACTTCATTTTTTATTGTCCTTATTCTTCTTCCCAAAGCTCATCCAAACTGCCACTTTAATGTACTTTCTTTCAGTCTGCAAGGCAAATCAAGTCTAAGAGCCATCAATTCTGCCTCCATAGGCACCAGTAGGCAAGTGACTACTATCCTAACCTACATGTAGTTGCACCTCTCCCCAGTGTTTCCACTCCCCAATTGCTGGTTAGGAAATATGGGCATTACCGCTCCTTTATGCATAATGATGGGATGGAATGATAATGATGGTCTTACTGTATTTTTCTTAAAAACACTACTTTGCACTCATTCCTGTTCCTATCCATTGCATGGATTATTTGTAATGTGTGATTCGTTTGGATCAACTGCTGCAGAGGATAGGTTAGCAAGTAGACATTTACAGTGGATAGTTAATGGACCATAATATTCTCTATATTATCCCTTCCCAGAATCCCAATGTGACTTGCCTTCACATAGTCTGGAATATTTGGGAGGGGAGAACACGAGTCTGAAGCCTTCTGTAGTCTCTTTTCTAGTTTTTAGCAGGCTTGTAATAAGTCAGATTCAGGACAACACTAGGAGAATAAAGTGCCTTTTCAACTTTAGGCAGTGCTGTCTTGGCAACAGTAAACCTACAACTGGGTTACTATAGATTTTATTACTTGTGATCTCTCTTAATTTTTTGCACTACAATTTCATAAATCTAGTCCAACAATTTTACTGGATATAATTCAATTTTCCAAGTCTTTTGTGATGCAGACTAAATTATATTTTAACCATCAGGATTTTCTGGGGAGTTCTAATAATGTTCCTGAATAAAACAATTTGGAAACTTAATACATTTATCTTATTATTTTGGAAACTTAGCAGACATAATAGTGCATTGATTGACATATTTGATCACCTAACCCTTGGTGTTTATCTTCAATGATCAATCAACTGCTCTACTGAAGGTTTGTGACTTAAGCCTGACTGCTTGTCTAGCATCTTGCCATGGGGAAAAATAGTACTGATATTCTATTATGAAACCAATTGCACAAAGTTACATAGGCTGTATGCATTATAAACTAAATAGTTATCTTCCCTTTTAACAAACAACAAAATTGGAATTATTATTTATTATAATAAAATCAGGGAAAGCATATCAAGCATGATTTCTGAATTCTTTCCAATTCCTTAAAAATAGCTTTACTCTTGATCAACGTTGGGACAACGTTGCAATTCACTGCCCAATTCTCTCTTACACAGGATGAAGAGTGTTGTTGTTGTTGTTTAAATGTGGTCCCGGCTAGACCAAAGCCATTATCAAGTTTGATCTTTCTTTTGCCAGCTTTTCTCTTTACATAAAATCTAGTTTAATTGTGCTGTGCCCTGATGGTCCTGACTTTCCTTACATGATTTTTCTGAAACGTTCTTAACCTGTTGGAAAGAGTAATAAAAGGAATATATAACTATTTTTTCTATGTTGGTGAAAACTACCGTATTTACAGTTGTTGAGAAAAACTCTCTTAAAAATGAACTCTCAACAGACGCCTAATGCTCCATTAACTCTTATGCAATACTTACTGAACTCTTTAACTATGTAAAAGAGAAAATGGCATGGGTTGTCTACAATTTCTATCTCTACGGTAGCCGCTTAACTCCATACAGGCAGAGTGAGCAATTCTAATTTTTATCTCTAAGGTAAAGTCCTATGTTTTCCATGGCAATCGTGGAGGATTTGTGGAGCTGCGTGCCGAAAGTGCTAATATAAGGCCGGAGACTGAGCGTGCGACCCATTGTGCTTACAATAGCAATAGCTCTTCCTGTTTTTGGGAGATGCCAAGACGAGGCGACAATCAAGCTCCAGACTCGGTAAAAAAAATGCATACACTTCCAAATAGAGAGCCTGCATTGGATAGAGGTGATTTAATGTTCTGGGTGTCAGTTCGTCGTACCGTCCGATAAAATTGATTTCGAACACGTCATGACAAAAAAAGGTATTGAACAACATAGCTAAGGCATTAGCCCCAAATTAAGAGCTTTTAAAATCACAGGTGGCTACAAGAATTGATACGCTCTGTGTTTAATTCTCCGATTGAGAATAAGTGAATCTTTGGGAATATTTGTGTTGCATTGTGCTCAGTAGTAGTATTAAAGATAGCATACTTTAGTGATTGGACGCTAGTTTTCATGAAGCAAATCTGTGTGGTGGCTAGAATTGAAAACGACTTGACGGCACATAATTGGTTGCTGCTAGTTTAGTTTACAGTGGTAGTCCCTCTGGAGGAGGAGGAAATGTGCTAGTTAATGTGCTTTTATTAGATCATATGGTAGAGTCCGAGTGCAAAGGAGACATGTGTTGTCCATCTCTGGACCCGGAGTTGGCTGTGCAGTCCCAGTCTAGAAGTACAGACTCTCGCACAATGGGGACACTGGAAGTCCATTGTTGTAGTAACTGTCGGTGTAGTAACTGTTCTATTATGCTGCTCACAATTTTCAGTTTTTGACAATGCCTGTTTTCAAAATCATTGGGGGCTTCATAAGAAGTTTCTAGATCCTTCAGCTGTTGTCACAGTGGGATAGGGTTTAGCAGATTAACAGAGTTGGAAGGGACCTTGGAGGTCTTCTAGTCCAACACCCCCCCTCCAAGCATGAGACCCTACACCATTTCTGACAAATGGTAGTCCGGTCTCTTCTTGAAAGCTTCCAGTGATGAAGCTCCCACAACTTCTGAAGGCAACTTCTGTTCCATCGATTAATTGTCCTCACTGTCAGAAAATTTCTTCTTATTTCTAGGTTGAATCTTTCCTTGATCAGTTTCCATTCATATGTATGGTCAAACTCAAGATGTCTTCCCAGATTCTAGCACACTATAGAGCATCTAGCAACA